CACACAGAAGCATACACATACACACTCACAAAAAGAGGAAAGGGGGAAAAAATCATAAATTTTCCTCTCAAAGTCCACCTCCTCAATTTGGGATGATTCGTTGTCTATTCATGTATTCCACAGATGCAGGGTACATCAAGTTGATTGTGGAGCTTTAATCAGCGGCTTCTGAGGCTGCTGGGAGAGATTTCCCTTTCTCTTCTTTGTTCTCACAGCTCCCAGGGGCTCAGCTTTGGATTTGGCCCCGCCTCTGCGTGTAGGTCGCCGCAGGGCGTCTGTTCTTCGCTCAGACAGGATGGGGTTAAAGGAGCCGCTGATTTGGGGGCTCTGGCTCACTCAGGCCGGGGATGAGGGAGGGGCATGGAGTGCGGGGCGAGCCTGCGGTGGCAGAGGCCGGCGTGACGTTGCACCAGCCTGAGGCGCGCCGTGCGTTCTCCCGGGGGAGGTGTCCCTGGATCCTGGGACCCTGGCAGTGGCGGGCTGGACAGGCCCCCTGGAAGGGGGGTGTGGATAGTGACCTCTGCTCACACAGAGGGTTCTTGGTGGCAGCAGCAGAAGCCTTAGCATCTCATGCCCGTCTCTGGGGTCCGCGCTTTTAGCCGCGGCTCACGCCCGCCTCTGGAGCTCCTTTAAGCAGCGCTCTTAATCGCCTCCAGGTACGTGGGGGGTTTCTTGCCTTTTGGGACGTCTTAGGTGTTCTGCCAGCGTTCAGTAGGTGTTCTGTAGGAGTTGTTCCACGTGTAGATGTATTTCTGGTGTATCTGTGGGGAGGAAGGTGATCTTTGCGTCTTACTCTTCCACCATCTTCCTCCTAAATGGTCTAGTTCTATTTTTTAAGATAATTTGTGGGCATTTTATTAAACTAAATGTAAACAACTTGAAGAGGGCAGGTACATATATTGAGTACTCTCTTATTACAGGTGTTGATATGTACTATAAAGAATGTCATAGGCCCAAAAACGATCCGTGCTGTCATTTCTGTCTACTACTATGTGGACTTAATATCAATCTCATTAAAGAAATATCTGGCATATCCTGAACATTTTATATCATGGCTTGTAAATGTAGAGCTATATAAGCGACATTTAGTGCTTAAATATTCAACTCCTTACGTATCAGCCATCCTTATTTGGTACAGATGGAGAGAAGAAACCCTGTTAGTGATAACAAATCAAATGATGTTTGTGGCTTATGGGTAGTCAGTTTAATCTAATGGGTTAGAAATATCTCATCTGTCTTACTCTGTCTCCATTGCTTAAGTAAGAACAGAATTTTTTGTTGTTGTTGCGGCACGCGGGCCTCTCACTGTTGTGGCCTCTCCCGTTGCGGAGCACAGGCTCCGGTCGCGCAGGCTCAGCGGCCATGGCTCACGGGCGCAGCTGCTCCGCGGCATGTGGGATCTTCCTGGACTGGGGCACGAACCAGCGTCCCCTGCATCGGCAGGCGGACTTTCAACCACTGCGCCACCAGGGAAGCCCAAGAACAGAATTTTGGTGCTGAATTACAGCCACTTGGGTGATTGGTATGTTTTTTAGCAGAGCTAAACTGATGAATGTTTTGAAGCTATAATAAAATAACTTATAAAGCTTCACTGAGAAATAAAATGGACTTAACATAAATGTAATTTAAACCTACTTTTTAAGGCTCTATGTTTTAAAAACAAAAATGGCATTGTCAAAGTGTGACCTTTAAAGATATATTCAGGGAAGTCGTTTATCATATGAAATTTATTAGCCTCTGGGTGTTAGGAGTTCAAAATTACAACTTGCTTCTTAGCAAATGTGAAAAGTAATGTCTTCTGTTACAAGTTAACTTGCATTATGTCAGTTCATTTCTATTTAGCATGAAGTTATAAAATATTCATATATAATCAATATATATTTGCAGTAGTATTAAAGGAAGCACTGTGTACTTGATAGTTGGAAATTATGAAACCATTTTCATGATTAAATCATCGCCATTATATGAGTAAAATATTCAAATTAATCTATAGAACTATATAATCCTGCAACGTACAAGGTTCCTGTAGAGTATTGTCAGAACTTAGAATTTTATCACTTCCTGTGCAGAAATATTTTTGGACTAACAGTATTTTAGTTGCCTGCTGTGTTTCAAATATTATTTTAGAAATGAGGAAAGATTGTTAAAAGAGGCTAAAAATTGCAGTCTTCACTATTTAAATGAAATAATAAGTATACCACGTAAAGATTTTAGAACACAATGAAACAATATTACAAGCAGATATAAAATGACAGTAAAAATGATACATGAAATTTTGAGGCAAATGAACTGTCAGTGACTAGTTTAACTTATTAGAGCAAGTTTCTTGTCAGAAAAATTTTTGACATTATTTTAAAGGAAGAATGTGAACTGGCCCAGAGAGCGGCTAAAACAAGCAGAAAGACTCGAACATGCCTTGTACAGGAGGGCAGACATGACTACTCTGTCAGTTAGCAAAGAATACAATTGACCCTCTGGTTTTATCTTAAAGTTTATAATAAGAGGCTGCTTAGCATAATAAAGAAACAGACAAGAATCAAAATACTTTCTCCATTCATTCAAGCAGATTACTTTTCTGAGCTCTGGTTATGAATAAGCATGCCAGTCTCATGGTGTGGTTATGAGGCTTGAAGGCGCTAAGCTAGGTACAGTGCTTGGCATTTAGTAGGCTCTAAACAAATATTAGTCCTTTTCCCTTTACAGGTCACATACAACACTATGCTATGTGGCCAGGAAATCTGTTAAGCTTTAATTACCTCCATATTAAGAGCAATTACAGTATACAGTCCAAAAGTTGAGCATATGATTAAGTAACCTTTATTTTGGGTGCTCAGCTGCTGTCTCTGAACACGTTCTCTCCTAGTGCTCAGGTAGTTTAAAGCATGAGAAATAGTTCAAAGGTTCAGTAGGGCCTTAGCCTACCTCATTCCTTAATACCATCTGCTGTGCTAAATGGATGTGGTCATAGGAATTGTTCTTCAGAATCATTCATAGAAACAGGTGCAATGGGGAGACTAAGGGAGAAATTACCAGGAAGCTAAAGAGCTCAAGCTGCAGAGACCCTCACCTGCTCAGGTCTCCTTAGGCCTTGTATCTAATTTGCATTTGTAATTTACATGCTTCTCCTTTAAGAGGGCCCCCCAATTAGATAACCTTCAGGCCCAACAAAACCTGGGTCGACTCTCACTGGACTGTCTGGTAAAAGAATTCAACGTAATTGAAAAAGATGAGGTGGCCAATAGCAGAAAAAACAAATTTTGCTTCTACTGACCAAATATTGATTGGTAGTTACCCTTGACCACAGATGCTTATATGCCCTTAATCTCAAGCTAGCCCTCACCTATCCAGGAAGGTACTCTAGTCTAGCATCAGCCTAAGAATCACCCAATTGAAGAAGTGAGAAAGGAGATCACCTGGCAATCAGGGAGTGTCAGTTGCATTGCCCTGGTATTTAGTATCTCACATTTTTAGGTGGGTGAAGGGGAAGGGATAGATGGAACCAATATTATACTGATCTGACTCAATATGTGCCCCCAAAATGTTTTAGTCACTGTATGTATATTATCACATTTTTATTCTCATGTAAGTAGTATCTAAATTTTAGCTTGGGAGATAAGAAGTAACCTCCGTACTTACCTGTAACTTGACAGCAACAACAGAGGGAGGTGCTTAGTTGCACAGGTAGCATTGTATACACAGTCCTGTACAAGCATTTGCAAATGAAATTAGAGCTGGAAACTAAAATGGTACTGCAAATACACTTACACCTGCTATCATTTCCTTCCACAACAGGATTTCTTTTCCTTGACATTTATTTACAAAGATTTTACACAATCCTTTCCTTTAAGGAATCCTCTTCATCTCTTCTTATTCCCCAAGCCACCTCGTTCTTGCTGATCATAGCATCAACAAAACATACCTTCACAGCATTTTTTAATTTGAATTTTATTAATTTTTTTATACAGTAGGTTCTTATTAGTTATCTATTTTATATAAGTGTATATATGTCCATCCCAATCTCCCAATTCATGCGACCACCACCACCACCCCTGGCTTTCCCCCCTTGGTGTCCATACGTTTGTTCTCTACATCTGTGTCTCTATTTCTGCCTTGCAAACCAGTTCACCTGTACCATTTTTTATAGATTCCACATATATGCATTAATATATGATATTTGTTTTTCTCTTTCTGACTTACTTCACTCTGTATGACAGTCTCTAGGTCCATCCATGTCTCTACAAATGACCCAGTTTTGTTCCTTTTTTATGGCTGAGTAATATTCCATTTTGTATATGTACCACAAGTTCTTTATCCATTCGTCTGTCAATGGGCATTTAGGTTGCTTCCATGACCTGGCTGTTGTAAATAGTGCTGTAGTGACCATTGCGGTGCATGTGTCTTTTTGAATTATGGTCTTCTCTGGGTATATGCCCAGTAGTGGGATTGCTGGGTCATATGGTAATTCTATTTTTAGTTTTTTAAGGAACCTCCATACTGTTCTCCATAGTGGCTGTATCAATTTACATTCCCACCAACAGTGCAGGAGGGTTCCCTTTTCTCCACACCCTCTCCAGAATTTGTTGTTTGTAGATTTTCTGATGATGCCCATTCTAACCAGTGTGAGGTCATACCTCCTTGTAGTTTTGATTTGCATTTCTCACCTTCACAGCATTTTAAATTGCCTCCTAATCACTGAGTTCGACGCATGTCTAGAAAGATAAGTGAGTTTTCTTTGGGATGTGTTTGTTTATATCTGTATTATTCAAAATAAGCCAACAGCTTGAGCACCTGAAATGTTATTGAGCTTTACACATGTTTAAAATGTTTGATACAAAGGTGACCTGGGAGAGCATGATAATAAGCAAACTTACAGCCTCAGGAATGCTTTGTAAGGCTTTTATTTTGGTGAAACTAGTAACTGTTATTCCATACATTTGCCAGATTCTACTTTATAAAAAATTTAGTAACCTTTTTTTTCTTTCCCTCTTTCGCTGGTACAGATCCATATCCAGAGAACGGAAGGGTGTGACCATATGACCTGTTCACAATGTAACACTAATTTTTGTTATCGATGTGGGGAGAGATACCGCCAGCTCCGTTTCTTTGGAGACCACACATCAAACCTCAGTATATTTGGATGCAAATACCGCTACCTCCCAGAGAGACCTCATCTAAGGAGACTAGTGCGAGGGTCAGTCTGTGGTGAGTGTCTGACGTGACTTATACAATCTTCCCCAGGAAGGAAGCAGTGATGACAATAGAACTTAGGAATGTAATAAAATAGCCATGACAAATCTCAGCACCTGCCAGGTATTCTAGTAGAGCCTTTAGCTCAAAATAGGAGGAAGATGTTTTCTCTCCCTTTGAGTTTAAAATTAAAAACTTGTTTGCTAGCAGGGCACTGCTTACATGAGCAAGCAGATTTTGTTCGAAAAACAATTTATTACACTGCAGAAATATGAAGTCATTAGTCTTCTGAAAGCCTATTGTAAGCCACTTGATGAAAGGGGACAATGTCACATTTCTTTTGTAGTGACAGTACCTAGCATTGGTCTTAGGCATATCCTCTATTCATCCATGGAAGGCAAACAGTGCAATTTTAAAAATCCTTATGTTTCAGAGTCTTGTAATGGAGTTCCATTGTACCTATATAGTTGATAAGCCATTGTATATATTTGTATGTATTTTCTGTTGTATTAGTAGTTAATATTAATAGCTAACAGTTAATTAAATGAGCATCAAATGCCCTCATTGCATACAAACCCAAGTTTAAATATCCAAGTGCAATGCTTTTATGGATTGAATTTTTTACCCCTTTCTTCGTCCTCAACAACACACAGTCTCATATACAAATATGCAAAGATAAACACGGATTCCTGCTGTGGCCTAGTGTCACCACCTTTGAGTGATGCAGTGTTCTTCTGGCCTAATAGTTCTTCCAATGGCTCCCTACTCCTCTGGAATATACCTACTGTGAGATTTCTTTCTTTTTCATCATGCAGAACTCCATTATTTCTTTCTCTGGCAGTCTTTCTCATGTATACACAATACTTTTTAACATTGTCTGCGTTTCTTGCTTTCTACTTACTTGTGCCTGGTTACTTCGTGAGACCATCTTTATATCACTCTTTAGCCCTCCATCACTTCATTACTGTTGTAAACTGCTGTCCTCGCTAGAATCATGTCAGGCTAATCAGAACAAAGCTGATGGTAATAATATACTTCTGTCAGGTAAACAATAGAACATATATTTTAAATTTCATTTTATCATGGGGAAAGCAGTGCCATCATTTTCTAAAATCTTATATGATATCTATAAAAACACCCTTACTGAGCTTTAATTAAACATAATTTCCCACAACCAACAGCATTCAATATAGTCAAGATTGGTTTTAATGATTTTCAGTGCTTTTCTGTTTAGTTGCTTATAACGGTATATATTATATTTATATAACCAATATATACTTATAACCAATATATACTTACTAGTTAAACAGACTTTAGAGGGATAGCTAGGGAATCTAACCACTATTTATAACAATATTACCATGAGAAAACTAACTGCAAAATTAAGTTTTAAGCTGTAACCTATTTGTAAGTCTGTACATACAGAAAGCAACCTAAAAACCAAAATCCTTACATTTCCTGCACTGGTAGTCCTTTCCTTTCCTACTTCAATGCCATTTTGTGGCAAAGTGTTTCCTTTCATTTTTGTTTTAAATAATCTTTGATTTGACCGTGCTTTTTTTTTTCCTTTTCGTTTTTCTGTTTAGTCATTCTTAAATAAGGAAAGTCATTTCCTGCCCTATTTGTTCAATAATATTTTGGGTGCATTCTCTTTGAGTCCTTTCACCATTTGCCTAGATGCCACTAGAATTCTCTTTCCAGGTCATAAAATAGAGTCAAGATATTTAACAGCCTGTAGAATGGACAGCCCATAAACATTGTCAGCAGGGAAATATTTTCTTTGTACAGTCTTCTCTGTTTTTATTTTTAATTTTATGGTCAGCTTTCTATAAATGGTTTTCTTTTGGGCCCATTTTCTTTTCTGTGTATGTGTGTGTACTCGTGTGTGTCAGGGTGAACCTGACAAAGGAGGGAGCAGCTGGCCCTATGATAAGCTCTCCCTCCTACACATATTTTTGCACCTCCAGCACAGCCGCCTCGAACTGCTGTTGCACCATCACTCCAAGTATAGTAGGGAAATATGGACTTTTTTCCTGTGGACAAACAAGGAAAAAATACAATAATTCATGTTACCCATTACATTTTACAAAATCAGACAGAATTATTTTATAAGCAATGTTTTTAAATAAAAAGAGCAATTTAATTTCAAACATCTCATCCCTACAAAAGTCAGGAAAAGGTGTTACTCTGTAAGCCCCAAGGTTACGTTCTCCCTGCCATGGAAGAGAGTAGATGGATGACAGCAAAGCCCTCCTGCCCTCCATCCTTGCATGATGGAACCCAGTTTGCTCCTCAGTTTGGGACCACAGCCTGCAGATGTCCTTGGACAGAGACAGAGAAAGGGCCTGCCCTCCTCTCACAGCTGGAGGTTGGAAAACAAGGATGGTCATGTGACCATCTGCCCAGCCACAGATCAGAGGTTCTGCCTCTAGAGAATAAGGGAGAACAGCGATTTGAGGGTAATTAGCAGCCTCTGACATGCAGGTATCTCCCTGGTAGGGAGTAGGTAGGTTATTCAGTGAATGGTGTTGGGAATAAAAGTGACAGAAAGAATGCTTTGTTCTCATATAATTCCATACAAATATTGAAAATATTACATTAAAACATATAATAATAAAGAACATACAGGTCCTTAACTGATTTCTAGTTGGCAAATAATTTATATGAACAAAAGCAATGGAGGCCCCCCCTCCAAAAATAAATATCACATTTTTCAAAAAGAAAAGAAGTCTGGAACCAGAATTGAAGAAATACAGATAGACAATAAACATGTTTTAAAAGATTCAGTGTTATTAGTAGTCAGAGAAATGTAAAAAATGAAATTTTTTTCTGGATATTGATTAGCACATATTTTGTCGAGTTAATACTCTATGCTGGACATCCATACTCTATTGAAATAACTGGAAATTTTGTGCAATTCTTTTACAAAGAAATTTGATAATAATGTGAAGGATATTTTAAAACATGATAAAACATCTAGGTTGACAATGGTTTATTTGCAAGTATAATTTAAAATAGCAGAAAAGGGAACAAAAAATAAATACTAAAATATTTAAATAAGCTAGAATATATGGATATAATAGAATACTATTTCAGCTATTGAGAATGGTATTTTAAAAGAATTATTATTGATCTAGGAATTAGAGAATCTGTGCTTAAATGTCCTCAAGACAGTTTCAAAGGTAGACTTAACGTGTACTGAACATTGATTGCATGATTGTAATAAGTTTATTACTTCCCAAAGAGAGAGAGCACATATCTGGTTATTTGAGTTCTGTGATATTTGAAAATAAAAAAAAATACTGCTGTTACTTTGCAGTCATGTTTCATCACTATTATGAAAATATATTGATAATTACTTAAAAAGGAAACATGAATGAGCACACTGAGCTACATGTGTAGGAAAAAAACCAGATTCTTTTACAATATACAAATCAATATAGTATAAACTCAAGTGTAGCTTTAAGAATGTACAAAATGTAATTGTTCAATGCGATTTAGTATTACTTGATTGATTCTGTCATTGGTGAAAAATGTAAGTAAACCCCATGGTTAGACATTGTGTCAATTGAATGGCAGTTTTTTCAAAATTAGATATTAAAAACTGTATTTTTTAATCTATGTTTTTTCTGTGGTTCCAAAGCCCCTTTCTTAAGAATAAAGAAGTTAATATTTTTCTGACAAATTTCCAACACATGGCTGCATTATGTTTCTGTTTTTTAATGTAATTGGTTATTCCAAATTACTGTCCTTATTTATAGACTGGTGTTGCTGCTTTATTTTCAACAGCTAAGGGAGTCTACTGCAAAGTCCCTCCATTCCTTCCTCTTCTCTTGTTGTGTTTGGGTTGTACAGCTATTGCTGTCACATGTCTTAAGATCAAGATTACTATGTAATGACAAGATATTAACTACTAGCCCCTATTTTTGTGCTAGTGTCTTTTAACGCTAGTAGGATTCCAGTTGTGAACTCTGTGCTATAACTAGAGTTTATTGTAATCACTGCTCAGTTATTCATTTAGAAAAAAAAGTGCTGGTTGATGCCATTTGGCATCCTTATAAGTGCTTCCTTTCTAAGTTTGTTAAAATGATTCATTTGAAAAACCTTCAATATATTGTATGTTTATTGGGAATTTTTTCTAACAGTGGTATTGAAACATCCCATTTGTAATTCAGTGTATTAGGTGTTCATATAGTTAGTTTATTTTGGACCCAGGAAATAAATAAATCACATTTTCAGATGTGGACTTGGGCACAGCCCTCTGTAGCACCTACTAGCTCTCCATTTTGTGACCTAATTAGATTTTCTCCTGCCAGCTCAGAATGTCACTCCTTTCTTAATCTTTCAGAATTTAAAAAATTTAAAATGGAAGAGATCTAAAGGAAAAACACAAAGATGAATGGTCCTGGTGGAATAAAGTGAACCAGTAGCTTTGGTATTTTCTTGCTTGTAAAGGATGATTTATGTGATGTATGACACATGTGCCCAGGACTTGAGTGAAGTTACTGAACTTACATATGTGTATTTGTTCTACACCTGATACATTTCCTTAGAGAAATATTGCCTTAATTTTAATGACTCCTTAAAAAATAACATACATTGTGATATTAAGCATTGCTGAAATTGTTTTTAGTTTTAGTTTAAGACTCTCTAAATGGTTTGCCTTTTGTTTTCCAGCTGGAAAATTATTCATTGCACCTCTAATTCTGGTCTTGGGATTAGCACTAGGGGCCATAGCAGTTGTAATCGGTAAGAAATACTTAATGTATCTGAGATGAGAATTCTCTGAGTGCCACAGAGAGAATATGAGTGTAAATGTAATAGTGAGTCAGTATTAAGTGTAGATGGTACCTGTTCCATGCTTGCTCGAAATAAGCAATCAGCACATGATTTATAGATTCAGAGGAGTGTGTTTCGTACAGGGTGTATTTGTGTGACACTTTCTCAGCCCATGAACACTTTGATTCATGTTTCTTATAAAGCATTATTAGTCCCCTTTTAATACAAAAGTTAATGTAACTAGTATCTTAGCAAAAGATTCCAGTAGACGAGGACCCAGATCTTCCAATTCTGAGTTCAGGTTGGAACATTGAAGAAAAGAGGCTCTGTTACACCTTTGGGTCTTCGGTTAGTTCTAGTAAAAGGGTTCCCTGGGTCAAAAAGATGCTTTTGATGTGGATAGGAACACGTACCCAGCATATACTTGAGCACTAACAAATAGAAAATGTATCAGTGATAAATATAGTTTTATTCATAAAGTATATTAAAATATGTATTTTCGAGCAATGGTTCTCAGACTCTGGAGTGCTTTATAAGAACCTTGAGGGTTGGTTAAAAAACAGGTTCCTGGTTCCTACTCACAGTTTCTGATTCAGTGTAGGGGCCTAGTTCTAAAAAGTTAGGTGATGCTGATGCAGGCGGTCCAAGGACCACACTTTGAGAACCACTGCTGTAGAGGATTTAAAATTAAACACTAGAGCTAAAGGCTGCTTTGATGATTGTTCCACATAGCAGATGGGATTTCTCTTTTTTCCTGAATAAATTGATTTTTATATGTAAAGTTCTGTTTAGCAAGTAATTTGCATGTGCAGGACAGATAGAATTATAAGGTAACTAACATTTAAGTTCTTACAGTGAATGAGGCTTTATGAAGTAAATACTATTATTATCTGCATTTTACAGCTGAGGAAATTAAGGCTTTACTAGGACCTCCCAAGTGGTAGAACTGGGAATCAAAGCTGACATTTGCTCCACTGCCCATTTTCTTAAGTAACATGCTATATGGCCTGAAACCGAAGCATGAATATCAGTGTGCAAGTGATATGACTAGGGATGATAAAGAAGATTTAAGTTTTGATATTTTGATGAAAAACATTCATATCCAAACTGGTATCACAGACTTCATTAAAAGGGGGAGAAGGAGCTGAAGAAAAATAATAAAGAATGAAATCTTGAAGAACGAAGTACATTTCATAGCATAGGTATCTTCCCTCTTTTCATTTTCATGTATTACTAAATAATGATTATTTATAAATAGCTTGCAAAATAAAAATTTGAAAATAGAAAATTTTCAAATCTATGATACTAAAAGCCTGTCCTCTTAATTAGCTTTAATCTTTTTTTTTTTTTAACCCCCAGGTTTATTTGTATTTCCTATCTATTGCCTTTGTAAAAAACAGAGAAAACGATCACGGACAGGAATGCACTGGTAAACGCGGATGATTTCATCTGACTACGCTGGTCCGGGTAGGAGCTACCCAGAATTAGACACCTGTCTGAGGGTCACTTCTTGAAAACTGCCAAGAGGACCCTTTTGCCATCTCTTCTCCTGTGTTCTGTGCAGGCCACAATGCCTCTAGCTCCGGTGCATTCCCGACATGGTATCCTGTCCTTTCCTTATACAGATTGCTGCTTTTACAAAATGGTCACTTTCATAGACTATAAACATCTATATCATAACTCTGATCTTCTTAATGGTTCTTGGAAGAAAGTATTTTAATTAGAACCAGTTATCCTCAGAACTGTCTGAGCATGCATCTCCTGAGCATTGCTTGGACTGTCTTTGTACCTGAATCTCCCTCCATGCCCTCTTCTGAGACTTGGTGTGAATAACTGAAGGTCCCACCTGTACCAACAAGCAAGGCCACTTTTCAGAAGATGAAGGCTCACCATATGCACCAATTTTCATCCGTGACCCAAGCAGTATAATTCCTTCATCCTTCAGATGCTATAATTGTTAAAAATCTCAATGCCCAAAAGGGAACTAATGAAACTAAACGAATGAGAAGAATCATAGTTACTGAAGTGTATATGTGTAGGGGTGTGAATGTGTGTGTATATACATATCTGTATTAAAACTAGGTCCAATATCTTGTACTTGTCAAGTTCCATGCCTACACTATTTTTCCACATTTTCATAGACATATTTAAAAATGATTGTTCCTTTGTGGGCATAATTTGGTAATGTACTGAATTAAAGTCAACGTACACAACAGGCTATTTTGATGTTGACCATTTCTATTTCTTTCTCTTTCTCTCTCTCCCCCCCTGCCCACACACACACACAGAAATTTGTGCAGTGTCCCTCAAGGATTATCAAACTTTATAAACTGATAAAACTAATAGGCTGCTTCTAGGAAATTCTCAAGACCTGAATGTTCTGTCTTCTTTTTCAGATTTCTTATATGTTGGCATACTTGCTTCACTCTATAATTAATTTAAATAAGTGTGCTGTAGAGAGAACTGCTGAGGCCTTTAAACATATCCCTATTCTGCTAATTTTTTAACCAACTTGTGATTACAATAATTATGCTTTAGGTTAAGCATATGATATTGTTTAAAACCCCACCCTCTCACCTCTCCTTTCCCTCTCTCTCTCTCTCTTTTACTCCTCAAGTTTTTCATAAAAACAAATACTGTTTTTGAAGGATTTTTCTTATGTTTATTGCTCCAATGCATAATAATGTGTTGGTATCTTCTTATGGAGGGGTGATTTAAAACAAAACTTTTTGTGTTCATGGGTTTATCAAAAATATAAACTGCTTTTGGAGAAGGAAACAAAAAAAAATGAAAAAATTATTTTCAGGATGTTTTACCAAGCTGAGAAATCTTTAAAAATAAGAAAAGGACAAGTAATTAAACTGTGTTTTTTTTTTTTGTTTTCATCACGAATGTTCATCAGCAGAAGGGAATTAAAGACCTCTAAGAAGCTTAAAGTTTCCACTTGTCTCCAGATCCTTAACATTAGGTATTGGCGTAGATGTAGCATTTATTCTTCAATAACCTTTTCTGAATTGAAATAGATTATGTGATAAAACATGCATTAACATGGATGGTTTGTCTTGTTGGGCTCCAGAGTATAAGAACATTTATCATTCTTATTTGATCTGGAAAGTCTGTAATAGTGAAGTTTGCTTTCATGGATAACAAGCCAGCACTTCCATTCTTTTCTGAGTAACGCTCAGAAAAGCTATACTTTGGACTAGTCTATTTCCAGTTCGAGGAGGGTGTGCCATTTATGGCCTGGAATAGCATATTTCTAAAGCATAACATGATACAAGAAGAATCTAGTTTCATAAATTCATCTTTCCATTCATCCAACCATCTATCCATCCAACAAATATTTATTGAGTGCCTATTCTACTTGCTCTAGTATTAAAACTGAGAGAATGGGAATTTCTAGCCCTAAATCCGTGTAATTCTGTTGTAAGAGTGCTTAATTTATGTAAATTGTCCTTTCCTAGACTTGGGTGTTAGTTTGACAATGTGTGAATATGATTAATTCTAAATCTAGTGGATGTGTTTATGTTTGATATGTGTATGTATATATACTTAGACATATACATAGCTGTATATGAATACATATATACCATCTAGCTAAATAATATACTCTCTGGTCCTGGATAATCTATTTTCTTAGGTTATTGTATCTGTTGTCTTTGGCCTACTCAGGGATTTTTATTCCTTTCTTTGAATAATTTATCTTTTGGAGATATTTTTATATTATTTGGAAATGTTCCAGTTTTCCACTTACAGAGTGGCGTTTGTTATCAGTGGAGGCTCTTTCATCAGCACTCGCGATAGTGTGCACAGTGCTGCACAGGATTTTCATTTTTCTATTGCATAGATTTAAAAAAATTAACATATGCATTTTTTGCTTTCAAAGTTGGTATATATCAGGCCTTTCCCTGCTAGTGACTTAAAATAGTTATTTGTGAATTTTTTTGCTAAGTATCGTTAAGATCTTAAAAAGGGAGAAGAAAAATAAAAGATCATTTATATGTTAGTGCTAACTTGAAGGTAAAACAGTCGCACCTTTTGGGGTAAATTCTAAAAACAACTTTAACAAAAGCAGCATGCATGTAAGATGAATATCTTTTTATCCAAGGCTTGTCATTTTTTGGTATGTTTTCATTGTAAATTTAATATATGCTCCTTTTAAAAAAATCAAAGTATATTGAATTATAAAATACAACTTCCTCTGCTTTTCCCCACCCCTTATTTTCTAGGGGTAACCACTGTTAATAATTTGGTATGTGTCTTTCCAGATACTATCTATAAATATACAAATAAGTATGCGTGTGTGTGTGTGTATCTGTGTGTGTATTCATTTTGTATAAATAGAATAATAATATGCTTACTGTCCTGTGACTATTTTTCATTTTACTATGAATTGGTAGACATCTTTCCATAAGAGTTTAAATAGATGTATCTCATTCTTCTGTCAATTACTACATATTCCATTGTGGGGCTGTACTTTATTTAATCAGTCTCCTATTGAATGAACATCAAGTTTGTTTTCACTTCTCTATTACAAAGCATTAGTGAAGATCCTTTACATATATTTTTGTCACTGTGTGAACATTTTCATAAGTTTTTAAATTCGGTTTTTATATTAGTAATAAAATTTTCATGCACTTTCAATGAATGAGATCATAGAGATAATATACTTAAGGCCCTTTTCTTGGAGAAAGACTTGTGTAAAAGTGCATAATTTTTAAAGAAAAGCATCTTTTGCAGGATAATTTCCCCCCCCCATGCTTGATTAGCCAAATAAATATCTTGCCAACACTTACAAAAGAAAATTCATCTTATTCCAATAAAAATAAAATGCAATGAGATGTCTATAAGATAATGTGAGAAAGATGCATTGACATTTGGATTGCCTAGTTTTAAAACTTGAGGGATTTACATGAAATAGCCAAAGTGATCATGTTTGTCACGTTTTTTAAAACACTCTCCATGTTCATGCATGTTGCTCCACAGAGGAACTTAATTATGCCTTTGTGAAAAGTAGGAAGCAACATGTTGGTAATTATGAATGACCACATTCTCCACAGAAAAATAATTTTGACTGTATGTGAGGTTTGGTGGTTTGTTGGGTTGCTCATAAACTTGGATAACATGAAACCTTTATTTTACAATGAATCCCAGCATTTCCCTAAGAACTTCTGTATGTGAAGTTAAGAAAAGAAGGGTCAAACCTTTTGGCACAAACAACATCCTGTTGCCACCAACCTTGATTTTCTGATAAGTGCTATTGTATCCTAAAGGTAGAACAGACTGGAAAACAATCAAAGATAAATTAAACACTGGTCGGGTTACAACCTGGTACCTTTAATTGTACTTTCCTTGCTGTGATATCAGGATTCAGTGGTGCCTGTCAGGAAATTCCCTGTCTTGTGTCACCCACCATCTCTTGAGTCCCAAGGCCACAGGTAGTCTTTATCTTTCAATCCTATCACCCAAATACATGGCCCATGGATCCCCTAAAGGACCTTCAAAATACTCTTCCAGTCCCCAAACAATGCAACCTCATTTTTCTACACTCCTTTGAGATTCTAACCAGCTCCTCTACACTAGAAAAGAGGAGGAGAGAAAGGAGTGGGTTAAAAACTCACTCAGGCACGTGCAAAGCACTAGCATTCCTTCCAGACCTTTGTCAAATTGAGTACACGTGCCACCAAATGGATCTGCTTTCTCCCTTGTTAAACAATGCAGTTGTTTTTAACACTAGACTTTTATGAGCTCTGTTAAATTCATAATTATAAAAAGTTAGTGGCCTAAATAATATCCATTGGTATACTTCATTAAGTACCAAAATAAAAATTCATGGCAAATGCCATTTTATATTTGAATTTTATATGCAGGCTGCATATATGCCTTAATGTGAGTCTTCCCATTGGATTGTATGCTTAACCTTTCATATTTGTGGCTGAAATCTATCCCAACTATTGAAAGTAATCTTTCCTGTGGTCAACTTTATTGTTTTGTGTTAATGCTTAGTATAAATATAGCCTTAAGATCCAATAATGCACTTTAAAATACTTGTGCCATTTAAGCAATTTGACAGAGTTGAGGAAACTAATTGCAGTATTTTGATGGAGATAGTAGAATAACAGTATTAGCAAATATATGTCACCTCTTTAAATTTGGCGGTGGGGGGGGGGCGGGCAGGGGGGGGGGGGGGTGGAATCAAGCTGAAAATTTAAAACAAGTGAAACATACCTGGAAAAGATGTAGCCAAGTTTCTGAAATTATAGTAATCCTAGAAGTTGGTATTAGGAGCTCAAACGTAGCAAGTAATTAATGCATGTTACCTAATAACCTAGTTGGAATGTTTGTTTAAAATATTAAGTTAGTTTCTACTGAAAGTTTTAGGAGCATTTTTATTTTTCATGAAATCTATAAAAGAAATTCCACTGATTAGTAACATAGTAAATCAAAACTACCATCAACAGCCAGTTAGCATATTTTGTTTTTCAAATCATTGTGTTTTAATTATGACATTTTCCTCCTCTGGAAAATAAGTTGCAAGTCCCAGTTTAATATGAATATCTATAATTATTACTTTAATAAAACTGAAATAATTTTATAGAGGCATTAAACTATGGTCTGAACAAAATCAGAGTTCCAAATTTGGGGAGTATTCAAGATTGTGAAATGCTACCTTTTCAATGCAAACCTTTATAAGAGAAAGGCATTCCTTCGTAACTCTGGTTTAGAGGATGGAACTAATACTCATTTCATAGCCAACTGTTGAGTGGGGCTTTTATTGTACATCACTGTTCTGAGGCTGGACTGTAGTCATTTTATCGAAATCCAAGAAGCAGAGAGTCACAGAAGTGTGAGACTTGTAATTGTCTATTTGGGGCATTAGCTGAAGTCTTCATATGTCACATACCTTACATTTTCTCATACATAGTGCCAATTTTAGCAGCATGTAATTATGCATATTATAAACTATATTCTTTTTTGACTAAAGAAGTGACTATTTTGAGACTAACAATATGGACTTAAAAGGCAATAAATTTAAAAGAAAACATAAAAAATTACTACTGCCTTTTTTTTTTTGGCCACTTCCTTTTAGCTTATAAAAGAAATTTCATTAGGTATATTTACTTACTGCATTACTTAGATTACACAGACTTATTAGCATAGAAAAATTTTTTTTGTTTTTCAGGTCTATCCCACATTTTTGTCACTCTGTTCCATCATATTAAATGACTTTCTTCCCTGCTTGTGAAGTGATACTCACATGCTTCAACATCAAGTTTCTGTTTTCTTTTTAGATTTCCTGGTTATCTTGCTTTTTCCCTCTGCAGTCTCCTTCCCATCTTGACGAAGTGTGGGATAAATTCTCTCACCATTAACTTTTTTGACTCAAATGAAATTCAAACTGAAAGGACTCCAGAATTTGGCCCTGGTAGTAAACATACCTTGGCTTCTTTCATCTGTAAGTTAAAACATCTCAGGAATATTTGGAACACGTCCCTCTTCCTGATAGGAGTTGGAGAACACTGCCCAGCCCTCTGACAAGAAGTAAAATGAATGAGACGTTATTTGAATCAGAGAGCATAGAAATACTCTGAAACCAAGCTTCAGAAATTGTTTCATGATTATTATAAGGTCAATATTGTGTTTGCCTATTAGTTGGACAGAAAGCACGTGTGGACATTGATCCAGTCTGACCCCAGATCATCCTTGATTCATCCAAAATGACCAGATGTGTGGTTTGGGGGTCTTTGTTTCAACAAAAAGTACCACAGCTTGGACTTAGGGATGGATTTATAATATATTGTTGGATTTGTACTTGACTGTGGATTCTTAGTTCTGGGAATGTTATTAGACTTCCTGATAATCTAAAGTGGATGGTATTACATGTAACTAATATCAGCCCTATTCTAGAGAAACCATGCATCGTTTGCAAATGTTCAACTTTTTCATTGATATGATTTAGATATAAGCCACACTCAAGATATATTTAGCATAGGTTTATTACATGATATGGAAAAATTCAAGGGATAGTCAAACTTGGGTGTTAAAAATCCCCTCAAATTGCTGAGATGATGTTACTTCAGATTTTTCCTTGTAGCTGGCAGACCACATCGGTCATCAGTTCCCTGTAAAGTTAGGTGTTCACCTCATGCCCCAGTTGGAGAAATCATGTCAATAATCCAGTCAAGTTCTTAAAAATAATATTTTTCATTAATATATTACTTCCTCTATGTCCAAATATAACTTTATTGTTTCCCTGGAGTAAATACTGTCTAAATACTTGATAGAAATATCTGAATTTTTTTCAGTTTAAACAAAATTAGCATGCTTTATGTTCCTTTATGAAGAAAATTCTAGATAAAGTATGACTTTATCAACTGATTACAAACCCTTTCTCTAAGACCTATTTTTTTAACATCTTTATTGCAGTATAATTGCTTTACAATGGTGTGTTAGTTTCTGCTTTATAACAAAGTGAATCAGCTATACATATACATATATCACCATACCTCCTCCCTCTTGCATCTCCCTCCCACCCTCCCTATCCCACCCCTCTAGGTGGTCACAAAGCACCGAGCTGATCTCCCTGTGCTATGCGGCTGCTTCCCACTAGTATCTATTTTACGTTTGGTAGTGTATATATGTCCATGCCACTTTCTCACTTCGTCCCAGCTTACCCTTCCCCCTCCCCATGTCCTCATGTCCATTCTCTACGTCTGCATAAGACCTATTTTTTTAATTCCACGTGGCAACAGCTTAATTTTGTTATTTGATCATTTTCATCATAATTTAAATTCTGTAGATGGTCTTGAAAAAGGTGAACCAACCTTATATTTTGTATGAAACCTAGAACACTAATTGGTATATATATATGATATATATATGTTGCTTATGAAAGAAATTATTAATTTAATAAGTAGTAAATTCCGAGAGAACAGAAATAGTTCTGTGTAGAAGGAACACAAAAACAGTGGCATAAAAATGTTGTTATGTTAACACATTTTAACATAACATAACAACACATTATTTATTAAGAAGCCACAACAGTTAGTTGTTTTGTTTCTATTGTAAACAAAATTGGTTATAAGATATATTCATGAAACAAATTTATTTATATGTATATATATATTGCAAAATTGTGGGCCTATTAAATTACTGTATTCATATTCTCCTTTTACTCAAAGAATGTAAAATGCTAAAAAGAAAAACATTTGGGTGTTTACGCTGTCATTATATTTAGAAATTGCAGTTCTAAAGAATAATTGTTACCTCCTGTTTGAATTACCAGAATATATCCCATTTTATCAATAATTACATCCTCACAAACAATAGCAAATGAGAAGAATTTCTTAATTTTAAGATGAATGACTTTCACTAGTAGTTTGTACTAGATCTTGTCCATAGTTTCATTACATTATACGTTTTTCATTTTCTGTAAAACTTGTAGCCATTTTCCAAATAATGTCATACTACTTTTCATATTTATATATGAGCCTGGTTGAAAAGAGATTTTCTTTACATTTTCAATGATATTGAAAGTATTTATATAATTTTACTTTTTAACTTTGTCTACATTTCATTAGTCATACTGTTAACTTTGGTATTCATAAAACTATGTGGAGGAAACCATTATGAATATATTTTAAGAAAGAGGCATGTAGAAATAAAATAAGAAAATAGAAAATATTAATACTCTTTTGTAGAAATTCCTAAAAGAAAGCTGGAAAGGAAACAAATTCTTTTGTGATGAAAATGTTGAAAAATCAGGAGTATTTAAGACCTTAATTTCTTACATTTTTAGAGCAATCTGCTGCTTATCTCCAAATGATTATTTCATGCTGTTGGTTCCATGAATTGTGCTTTTAGCAGAATATATAATTTCCCCCCACCATTTTAGTGTTTATACATTAATCACTTATAAGAAAGCAAGAAATTAGTGAATAAAAGTCAGGGAAACTGGGCTTATTACCATTTTCCAATAGCACTAATGTATAGTCCCTTTAACCTTCCATACGGTGCTTTGTGTGATGAGAATATAAAACATTTATATATGTTCTTAGTGCCTTATTTTTTTCACTTGACTTTATTTCTTATCTAAAGAGCCATATATTTTTTGTGAGTGTTCTTTTGTCCTATTTAAAGTGCTGATGAGACAGTGTATCTCTAGGAATATATATATATAGGCTGCATTTGCTACTTTCATTCACTGTATTATCTCTAGAACAACAGGTTAGCCAATATATTTTTCTTAAATTCATTGCTCATTTTTAAGCTAAAGTATTTTTAAAAGGATCTTAAACACCATAAATTGAAGCCATTATAATTGAAATGTATTTTTAAACCACCAAAAAGAATGCTGATTATTAAAGTTTAAAACAGGAATTGAAATGGTTATCGGTCTTTATCTATACTCCAATTAGGGCAAAATTACTTTAAAAAAGCATTAAAAATAAAAGAAATTATATGGTACTTCAGGAATTCGACCAGTTCACTACCAGTTGTCTTTGGTAATATTTCATCTGTAATCTACTTCCACACAGATGCTGAAGAATGATGGTGTTTGCTATTTACATAGAGTTATTAACTCACAGTGGGCTTTATCGACATCGAGACATTTTGTACAGTATATTACCTTGCTCTTCTTGGATATTACCTTGCTCTTCTTGGTCCTTGCCTTTTGTGTTATACAAAAAGCTGGTTTTGTTGTATTCTTTATGTACTATAGTATGCAATTCAATGTTTCCTGATGAATGTATAGTGAATAATTAAAATAAATCATGTGCTTAGAAAAGACAAAGACACAGGTTGTATATGCAAATATGTGTAAATATTTGACAAAGAAAAAAAGAGGAAAAGAATCTTCCTGCCAACAGATATGTCCTGCTGGACAGGACATGGAAATTAACAGATTTTTTTTTTTTTTTTTTTTTTAAGCAATGAGATTTAAAAATCTATTACCTCAAGAATTTTCAGTGGATATATATCAGTGTAATGATCCTTCTTCGTAAATACAATCTCACTTGCTGCTGGCGGTAAAAGCAACCCAAGTGTCAGATCACACAAATTTTAGGGGCTACCCTAAAATTCAGGGGCTAGTCTTTCAAAAGATTGATACTTTGTGAAATTTTGGAGTCCAATTTTGGACTTTCAGTA